CATTACCAGCTATCAGGTGTGTCTTGTTCTACTCAGGCAGTGCAACGGTCAAAGAGAACCATTGTAGTGGCAAATAAATCTTGGCCATTTAAAGACTAGTTTAGATAAAATTATGCTGCTACATACTATTAAAAAAATATTCTTTGTTTGCTTTGTTTTCTGGTGCTTTTTCCTTATGTGTAATACTCTGGAATTTTTTTATTGTGTTATAGCTACCAGATCCGCGACCTAACCTATGAGCTGTAATAATGAAAGCCCCATAATGAATACCCCTGCCAAAGGCTATGCAGTACTGTATCTTTCTTTGAGTCATTTACTGCAGTTTATTTTCTTCCTGAAATTGATGTAATGTCTCAAGCTGGTAAGAAACTATCTGAACCTTCACTTTCATTCCTTTTCCAACTGTTTCATTAACCACAGAAAAAACAAATACCCATACGGATTGCAGAAGTCCTCTAGGCTATTTGCCTATTGTTTTCATAATCTCAAAGGTTAAAACATCCTGCAATGCAACAGAGGTGAATGTGTGGGGGAAATGAAAGATTCTTAATATACCTAAAAGGCTGGAAGTGTTGTACTTTTTTCATCTGGAGAGAACAAATTTTGAAAGCTAGTATTATGAACAGATTTTACACCAAGCTTTTAAGGCCAGCCAGGCAATGTGCTACAGCATCTGCCTCAATTTACTAGTCCTTCCGCAATACAAGCTGGCTGCAGAATGACCCTTGGACTTTCTAGTAATGCTGAAGAAAACCCTCTCTGTCCAGAGCCTACCACGCTGGCAACATCCTCTGTTGGGATGTGGCCTGCAGAGAGGCAGTGCTGCGCAGCACAGCTTGAGTAGCTGACCATGACAGGCTGTAGCTCAATGGCCTGTTGTCTCACCAGCTGACTTTTATGAGAAGAGGAAAAGGCTCAGCGGGAGAAAACAGACAAATGAGAGGTCAAATATTTACAGCAGAGCTGTAAGACAAGAGGTTTGAAATCCCGGTGCAAATGGTAACACGGTGGCAGGGAAAACAAAACATAGTGTAAAGTACAAATACACAGTAATTCTCTATAGATTGCCATGCAACACATTACCAAATGGCATAACTTACCATGTTTATAATTCACGGGCTGCACAAATTACAGTTTCCACCATGTTAGACTTTGCATCCATTTACAGAAATAGGCTTTAAAATTTGCAGGGATCTAGATTTCAGGTCACCATACAGGTTCTTGCCAAGAACTTGGTATATGATTTCAAAAAGAAATTAATCAGAGATTTATAAATGCTTTCTTCCAAATGAAAAAAACCCTAATAATTAAGATTTGTATGGTTGTAAACATTTCTAGGTAAGAGGTGAAATTAGTCTTTAGTTTTAGTTCACAGAAATTTACGGGTAGATACATGATGCATTTTTTCTTCTTGTTGTTGTTGTCGCCATACGAAATGTCAATCACATTGAATATTAACATGAATAAAGCTACAATTCTCTCTCCCAGAAGAGTAAACAAAGAAATCTTATAACTTCATATTTGAAAACAAAAAGTCCTCTTCTGGTTTCCAAACCAAAAAAACAAAACCAAATTCCTATCCAACAAATCAAAGATTGGACTTGGAAAAAAAATAATACAAGGATTAAAACTACTATACCCCCGAAGATATATTAAAAAATATTCTATAAAATAACTCTAATCTTTACAGTGATGATTACATCTTATGTCATACAATCTGTACCTAAAGCTAGGACCTTCTGCCAGGCTAAGTGTGAATCTTCCTCAGACAAATGTTACCCAGGAAATCCCTTCTCCTCTCCACATCAGAAGGTGTCAAGATGATTTGTGTCATCTCTATGAAAGTGAAGATAAACTTTCCTTACCATTGCAGGCTGAACTGTGTCTGACACACTTTGAAGTGACTTTGACTCATCTGTATTCTGTGCTCATTCTTGAAGTTGAAAGAAAAAACCAAAGTGTAATCATTAGCAGTTTTGCTTCATTAGCAACACTTCAGAAATTTAAACTGACCTCTTAGACAAAAATTGTTCCTCATAAAGGACAGCAAGATATCTTCTTTTTAACAGTTCAGTCAGGGCTTGTACAGTTTTCAGATGATTCTTATATTCTAAATATTAAAAAAAAACCTACAGAGAATGTAGTCTGATAACTTATTTCTTTAAGATGTGACATTTTGTCTGAAATTCATAGTTAGGGAACAAAATCCACATTTTCTAAGCAATGATGAAGTTGATTTAATTGAAGTAAAATTCACCCAGGTGCCTGATCTCTTTTGGGGAAAAATATTTAAATGGTCTTTATGTGGATTACAAATTATTTTTTTAGGTTGATTATGTTATGTAGTGTTGATTTCCAAATAGATAGTTTACCAAAATGTAATGGAAGGTTATTAAAGAACCAAGACACTGCAAAATGGGATTAGAATATAATCATTTAAAAATAATCATGGGTAGCATTTGCAAGTTTTCATAGGGCTTGGCTAAAAATACCTGATACATACTTACAGCCCATTGTTTCAGGTAAAACTCTCAGCACTTAAGAGAAAAAATGTAAAGTTTATTATTCAAAGAGATAAGTGTTGAAACACATATATCCACAACTTCCCCCAGCCAAAACCAACACAGCAGTTTACCACCTTTTAATTCTGTCATCAACCTCTGCTTTTTACTGTCTGAAATTATTGCTTTGTAGAACTCAATATTTTGTAATTCAGTTTTAAAGGAAATATGATGTTCTGTCTTTGTAGAATTGTGGCTCTGTCTCTACTAGCAAATTAACTGAATCAAGAGTTCAAATTTAAATCCTCTGACTTGATCATCTCTTGATAGAAGAGTTCTGGTAGACTTGTAAATTAAACAAATATTATACTCCCAAAGAAATTCTATGCAAGATTCAGGAATAAGTACATGCAAGGGACCGTTCCACATAATTATTTTGCCTGCCACCACTCTCTTTTGGAGGCTAACAGACTTTAATTGTAGGGCTACAGACCACTGCATGCCAGCTGGCCTTGCTGCCAGGTTTCAGCCTGCTTAGTTTATTGGTTATAGTAGCAAACTTGTGAGACTGTATTGGTGAAAAGATTAATACTGTCATGTAAATGAAAACTTTCCTGGCTGAAGATAAAAAAGAACATACAAAAATACCTTTATTCAAAACTCACTTTCTTTTCAGTGGGTTGGTGACAGACTGAATCTTGTCAAATCCTTACAAAAAGTTTTGCTGAAATTAATGTATCTCTACTATTTGCCCTGAGAGAAAAAAAGTATTTTAAATAAGCAAGGAAATCTAAAAAGCTATTAAAAAAAAGTCTGTGCAGTTCAGAACTGTAACTTTTTAACAAAGTCTTGATTTTTAAACCCAATGGCTGAATTAGCAGAAGTCTTCTGGAAGTAAAAATGTTCCCTTCACATCTGTTGTTTACAGTGACAGATCCCAACCTAAATCTGCAAGAAGCTCAGGAAAAAATTCACAGTACACGTGTGGGTGGATGCCTTGAAAGCATGTTTTTTCTCATTGTGTGTTCCACCAAAAAGTGCCCCATAGTGCCCGAGATTTTGCCAGGAGCAGGGCAGACTGTGCAGGTCGCTGCAGAAACTGCCTGTGCTCTGTGCTGTCATCCAGACAGACATACAGCTGTTAATCATAGAACTATAGAATGGTTTGGGTTGGAAGGGCATCTGATCCGAACTTCATGAACAGAGTAGAGGCATTTTCAACTAGATTGTGCTGCTCAGAGCCCATCCAGATCAACCTCGAATATTTTCATGGATGGAGCATCTCAATTCCCTGTCTTGAAAGAGGGATTGATTATAGCAGTATGTGCGTGCAGTTTGCTTCCACTCAGACATAGAAAGTGACCTTTATTACTTGGATAGAACCCATTTTATGCTGCTCAGAACCTTCACTTGCTTTGAACAGAAACAGTCAATAAGTAACAAAGTAGTGAAGTATTGGCTGCTTCTGCGACCGCCCAGTTATCAACAACATTATTTCCCATACTGATACTGAGAAAATTTTGCAGCCTAAAAGTCTCATACAAGGATTTCTGCAATTAATTATAAGGGCATTCCAGCACTCATCTATGTATTTTTCTACATGTATATATTTTTATACACACACACATCAATATAACTTTTCATGCACATTCTCTATATGTACTGTATATATATATCATATACATTTACCATGGAGATAAAGTACATGTGTAATGCCTACTTAATGCATGATATCAATGCACAATTATATATGTATATATGTGCACTAATTGGTATGTAATTAGATGTGATACTGGTGCTCACAGGTTCAAGAAAACATTGGTATACAAGGAAGTTAGTACTTCTAAATGGATATTTTCTGGAAATAAGTGAACAGAATGTGAAAAGATAAAAAAGTGCAGCTGCAGTCGTACAAGCTCATTTTGAAATTATAAATCAATTACTAAAAAGTAGGAACTTTGTATTATTTGTCCATAAAATTTACCAGCATCTTCATCTCTTACATGATGTAGTCTAGCTACACCCTTGTAAGCCTATTTCCCTGTATCTCTATGTATACAATTTATCTCCATAAAAAATTTATATGAAAAACTATGGGTTTCATTATGCATTTAGGCTGTTAATATACTGAAAGCAATAATTTTGCTATTTGTTTTAAACTTCAGTGGGTTTACAACTTGAATGTCATGGGAAAATAGTTCCTTACACAGGTAATGTAAAGACACAGAAGTGAAAAGTGTTAGCTACATAAACAAATTAAATAAACCACAATTAGGTTTAAATTCCTCTCGTACTCAAGGGATTATGAAATAACATGTGAGACCTAAACTCAATAAGTGAAAATAAATAATTTAATAAGTCTTGGTTAACTTTCTAACACACTTTAGCATTGGAAAGAATAATATGCCATGCTTAAACTGGCTGATTAATGATTGATGCTGTAACATTTTAAACCTGACTGATTGATGTACAAGTGTTTAACAGCCTTTGTCATGCTTTATTCCTCTGCCAGGGCTGAAAAAAAGTGTAATTTAACAAGTTTCTTAGAGAATCAGAATGTAGCTCAGAAGAATTTATTAAGATTCGATTAAATATTTTTCTTCATATGTACACATATACACCTATGACACTTAAAGAACTTTTATAAAAAATAGCCTTTAATCAACTGAAATATGTTTAGCTCAGTTAACACGCTGGATCTTTCATATGTTTTTGTTTGGATCAATTAAAAAATATTATGTTACTTCAGGAAGCCAAACCAGAACTCAGGAGAGAAATACTGCAACTAATATCAGCATGATCTGGATAAAGCATTCATTCTTCCTGGAAAGAAAAATGGAGGTGATTATTAGAAAACTTTGTTGCTAAGTAACATGCAAAAAATAACTTCTATTGCAGTCTTTTCAACAGAAGAAATACAGAATTCCTAATCCTAAATCTTCTCTTGCTCACTTCTCAAAATTTCCAATATTCCAGGTGACTCATTATTTTATCTTAAAATCTAAGCTATCAGTTTCATATTTGAGACTTTTCATATGTTATAAAATGTGGCTTTTACTTTTTCATTCAAAAATCTTGTTAAGTAAGAGTTTGAAATGTCTTGCTATTTCTAAGGTAGTATTTGTTACTTTAATGCTGGAAATTCAGATAAAATTGGAAATTTAAACATTGCAGACATTTAAAATATTTTACTGCAAATTCCAGAAGAAATTACCTGGGGTACCGTATAATTTTATTTCATATATAGTCATCCTAGAGGGAATGAAGAACATCTATTGGAATTGTACAAAAGATATTATGAAAACTAGTATTTTTAGCAATGTTTTCAAAACTATTCTTTATATTCCCATTTGACTTTGAATATTTAGAGCATTATTGACATTGTTATAGCTTTACATAGCTCTGTGTGCGTGCGTGTAAAAAAATTATCATAATATACATATATAATACATAACATATTTTATTAAATGTAAAGTTGAGATTGATTATATGCCATACTCTACCTGTAGGTAGTCGTAAATATGCAAGTGTATTGATTATATACATTAGAAACTGAAATTACATAATTGGATTTAGTAGTATTATTTTTTATCATTATTCAATGTATTTTAGGTACTTATATATCATAATTTTTCATTCATTTTGTGTGTTTTCAAAAGAGATTAGAAGAACTACATTTAACTTCTCCATGTAAAAATATTTTTTTTCCTTCAGTCAGTATGTACAAAAGTACAGGCGTTAGGCAGAAAGAACAAAATACTGCCAAAAAACCCATCATGAGAAACCCTGAACAAAGAGCTTTAGAAAGTGCTGCACACCAACAACCAGAACAAAAACTTGGTATGTCTTTTTCTGGAATGCTGAAAATAGCCTTCTGATAGTTCTGAACCCCAGTATTCAAAGCCTGAAAATGTCCATCTGTGAAAAGGATGGATTTGAAAACTGTGGGCTGATACTCCTATATTAACTAGTATATTTACAGCTCAGAGCAGGATAATAAGGAAAATGTATCTAGAGCAGAACTTCTGAAAGGTGTTCAGTGGCTTGGTGCAGCCTCAAGCAAGAAGTTTTAGAAGAGTGGCAATCAAGAAAACAGTGAAGCACAGTAAGACGTCTTTCTATATCATATCCTTATGTTATGTCCAAACCATATCAAGTTTTATTTCTAGGAAGTATTTATAATATGAAGATCATTTGCGGGGTGGAAGGGGGAGGAGTGTCTATAAGTTGCAGAGCTAAGTACATCAAACACTTATTTAGTGACACAGTACAATGTGTTTGAATCTTTAAGGTTTCTGGCTCCACTGTAAGTCTAGATTCTAGGATTCAGAACAGTAAAGACACTGTTATACTTCGTATAATTTAGGAATTGGCTCAAAGCTTGAGCTCTGGGGGGAAAGGGTAAAAAATTAGTGAAGTGCCAAAGTAGTGGCTGAAATAGCCTGCTTATGGCTCTTGATCTGTATTTTACACTATATGTATTAACACCTTATTCTCTCGAGTGTGAGTAAATATATTCCTGCTATCAGATCAGCTAAGAAATGTGTCTGTTTAACCTGACTTGAAGACAATCAATATAAGAGACAATCATTAAGAAGAACTGAAATAGAGGCTATGGTCAGATGTTACAGTAAATCCAAATCTACTGGACCACATCAAAAGTGCTGAGGTCACATGAGAAAAGTAGTACAGTGGGTCAAATTTGTCTAAGAAATGTGTGATAACAATTTTGAATAGACAGATTTTCTTGTGTTAGCATATTCTGCAGCATGTATCTTTTTCCTGTCTCTTGTTTGTTCCTCTTCCATTTTCTAAGGTCAGGACCTGCAAGCAGATGCTGGCCCACACCATGTCCCTTGTTGCCAGAACCACTTCTCAGAGTCAGGCCCTTTTTTACCCACTTTTCAAAGAGACTTAGGGAATAAATCCTTTTATTTTTATTCCAGACTCTCTGTCTCTTGACCATCCTGACAGCAAAGAGCTTTATTCACTCCCACCAAATGGCAAGCAGAATTACACCTCAGATGTGAATTGCAGAGTAATATTGGCTATTTCACTCTGTTTTTTCAGCAGTTGCAATGGTTGAGACACTGAGTGAAGCTGAATTGAATCTGATGAGCTTTTTAACCTATCCTGAATTATTTGCTTCCTTTGTTATGATTAATAATAAGGGAGCGATAGTCTAAAAATTATCTCAGGCATGTGATCCCCACCCTTTTAACACAGTAGTGATTACTCAGTAAATTACTCTTAAACCCAACTATTTGTGGAATGACAATTGAAAAAATAATTTGAGAACTGGAAACATATTTCAGAATTATATAACTTAAAAACAGACCCTAGATTTCTTCAAAATCTTGTTTGAATTTTCCTTTCATGAAAACTCTTTTGTGAGAAGTAGTTAAAGGGAGCTTTTAACAACTTCAACACAGAACTAAAGCTTTATGGCAATTTCATAATTTACTGAATTCTCAGTGAAAATTCTATCAACCCAGCAAGAAGTAGCTATAGAGTTGTACTGTTTAACTGTGAGAGTTGTAAATGAAGCATAATTTATACATGTTTTTAAAAATTCTATGAGAAGAGCCAGAGGCTATTTGGCAAAGCTTCTGATGAGTTGTTTTATGTTAAGAGCTGCCAGAGTAGCAACCATTAATGCAATAATTGATGTGCTACATCCTTAGAAACTGCAAAACAATATTTTATTTCCAAATGTTCCTATAATTTTCTTCTTTCCTTTGGTATTGACCTTTGGTATGAATATTCATACTTCATATCAAAATTAATCTGTACTCCACATCATTCTGATTAAACCACTTATATTTTGATCTCTCCCTTACCTACTTCTGTCTTACTAATCTTTTTTTTAGACCTGGCTTCCTCAGTCCTTTTTTACAGAAAGGTCCATTAGAAATCTAATACAAAGACTGATGGTGAAGGCTGTGAGCAGGGCTTTAAAGTCTAAACACCTCATCACTTCAATAATGTGGTTAGCCTTTGAAGCTTTATTAGGCCTGAGACAGTGTCTGATCACTTTTGCAGTTTTCCCACTTGGCAGCCATTGACTGTTAACACATAATTGAAACAGTTACTTAAGAAACTTGTATTTTATTGGTTTAAACACTTTTCAACATACTAGGAGCTAGAGTAGGATTATAGATTAAAGTAGCTCAGCTATTTTTTACTGAATATTTTTGTCTCCATTTGATGAATTATTCCTCAATAATAAGTTGGAGCAACAGCACCTAATTTTTTAAGTATTTAAATGACAGACAAGAAAAAGTATTTGAATAACAAAAGGTTAATTTGGTTCTACCAGAGAGTAAAAAAGAAGTATTTAAAATGGAACATCTCAGCTGTGTAATGGCCACCTGCTAGCCATATATTAAGATGGATTGCACAGATACCAAATATTTATTAAAACCATCTCTTAAAGCTTCTTAGACAATTTTACTCTTTTCAGCATTGAAAATACTGTGATTTAAATGAGGAAAAGAAGTTCAATATTAAAGAATTCCAAGAAGAAAAGAATATTAAATGATAACCACAAAAAATATACTGGACCTGAAATTTTTCAATCACTTTCACCTTGTACACCCTAAGAGTCAAAATAGAAAGTCTCTGTTGGTGTCATTCATCATAATTGCGGTGGAGCTGGTGGATTTATGCCCACTGGCTTTAGGCTCTGGATCCATACTGTATAGTTCTCATTCCATCTGTCTTCATCCTCACACCCCAGTCTTCCCAATTCTTCCTCTTACACATATTCCTGCATAGAATAAAAAACAGTGGAAAACTTCCACTACACATGATGGACCAAATTCCTCAGACATTAGCACCTGAATAATTATTGATCTTCAGAGAAACTAAATACAGGATCAGGACAACATGTTCTGGAAAAACATTTTCAAGCACCTGTGTTTTCCATCCCCTTTATTTTCCTGAAGAGACTGAACCTCATTTCTCTGTGGTCACCTACAACCTTAAAGAGTATCTACTCCCTGCCTTTAATAAAATGAACATTCAGTTGAAAGACTCTATATGCAACACCACAGTGGTAGGAAGCCAAACAACACTAATGAAATAAAAAATAATGTGCAAGATGCTTCTTCTAATGAATATTTCACATAATATTTTTTTCAGATTCAAATCTTCAGTACTCTTTTTGCTAATGGCAATTTAAACATTATAAAACTATCAGTATTCTCAAATAGAGGTTTTTCCTCACTTCTGGACTTTTTCTCAAAAAAAAAAAAAATGTGCTTCACAAAAACACATGTATTTTCCCACACTGGAAAATAACCAATAAACCAGCTGCAACTGATATTGCAATATTGCAGGATATAGAACTGAAGAATACAATTCTTCTTAAATTCCCTTGCCTAATCCAACATGCAGAACTTTTGTCATACAAACATAAATCAAATAGCATCTGCCAAAGCAAGAGGATGTGTGAAAATATATCCACTGCTGATAGCATTAGATTAGGTGTAACATCACAGGAGCCTTAAAGGGTAGCTTAAATTTATATGTTCCACAATAATGAAGATAAAGTGCTGTTAACATTCAAATCACTTTCTAAAACTGGAAGTGAAGAAAAACTCACATCCATATATCATGGTCAATAATCCAAAACAAGTCCTTTTTGTCTTACCACAGTTTATTGTGTAGATATTATGGTCTATAATTAATGCCACAGAAGAGAAAATAAGCAATGAAATGGAGATGACTAACAGAACCTACAATTTGCAGACAGTATAAATGCTTAGTGAAAAGCACAGAACTTAAAATGGCTTCACTATAGACAATGCAGATGGTATATCTCTCAAAATTTGTGTAAAAAATGTTTTGTTATTTCTTTAAAACTCTTAAACATTCCTAAGACAGTAGTAGCCCTCTCAAAATGTTAATTGAAACTGTAGTATGGCTCATTCCCCACATCATAATATTCAATAAGATGGGTGAAAAAGTGGAAAGTAACCAAATTATTTTCTTCTTTAGTGCTTTACTCATGATAGTACACTGATGAGTTTTATTTTTTCCAAATTGAAAGCTAATTTCTTCCCTTTCTAGGGAGGTAAGAGGGATATTCAATGTTGCTTAAGAAAATACCGAACTTCTAGGATATGGATTGCCTTAAGTTCATCTTATATCATCAATACATTAGACATGATAAAATTAATCCTATCATTGGCATATAATTCTATTTTGAAAGGTAAGTCAAGCTTCAGCGTTGAACATATTGTACTGCTCAAAACTACTTGGAGAAATCTTGTAGGCCAAGTGTTGTGTGAGGATAACAGCCTATCAATTTCCCATGGATACTCATAACGCATGAAGACCCAAAGGTCGATGGGTCATGAGAAAAAAAGAGTTACCAACCCGAAGACTACGGCTGCTAAATCTGTGAACAAGTTCCCAAGAACAGCCGTGGTGCATGAGCGGCCGGAGGTTATGAGGGCATGAGAATATGGGGGGTTCCTGCACAGCGAAGTCCACTCCTAGAGCCCACCAACTTCATTCTAACCAAGTTTCATGTAATAACCACATGTTACAACTACTTTAGCTCCTCAGCAACATCGGGATGTTAACAAAGTCTCAACATATCACTATTGCCTAGAAATGCCACTTCTTGAAAATAGGATGTATAATATGTGGTTATCATGGAAGCATACTTCTCTTAAACAGACCATATAATTTCCCACAATGTATATAAAACATTTTTCAGAGCAAATGCATGTAATATAAGTTTCAGGATGCATAAGCTCTAAACGCATCATAAGAAAATCCAAAGGTTTCTTATCTTTGCAAGAAAAGATAAACATCCAAAACCAAAACTCTCACATAAAGAAGATGATATTTATTCCCCCCATAGTAATTTGCCTCATCATTTGCTCATATAGAAAGTATATCTGAAACACATGGTAATATTACCAAGAGTTAAAGATTAATTTGTAAAATTCAGAAAACAACTCGAGTTAGAGAGATGAAGTTGCTGTGAGATAGATAGGTAGATAGATAGACAGGTAGATAGACAGATAGATATACACATATATATATACATATATATATATATATACACACACATTCATATACTTATTCTTAGCTCAGGACAAAAAGATACCACACAGTATGCCATAGAAACCTCTAAGATAAAGACAATATGAGTAAATAAGCAAACAAAAAATTATTTCTGAGAATATGTCAGAGTGAATGTACTGTAAAGTGTACAGATGTATAACTAACTTGGATGTCATGTAAAATGGAAGGATTCGAAATATAAGAACTTAATTTGAAGGCAAGAGCTTTTGGCATTATGAAAATGGCATCAAGGAAGAAAGCATTCCTTTTAGTAAAGAGAATGTAACAGAGGCCATTTGTATATTAAATAGAGGTCATATGGATGATTTCTGTTTACCTATTAAAAAAACCTAACACTGCAGTATTACTTAAATTTTGTATTTGGCTCTGGTTTGGTGGTGAGAAAAAACCCTCATATTAAATCACAGGTGCCAGATGCAGCTTTTATTTATCAACATTGTTTATGCTGAGCTGAAATAGTGGCAAGCATATGTCCATGAGTTTAAAATGACAAAAAAATCTTGTAATGTGACAACCAATTAAAGAGTCAATGTCACTTGAATACAGAAGTTTTAAGTCCTTAATATATTTCAGATTCTTTACTGTTTCACTTGGTTCAATAGCAAAGCTTATAAAGGCATGTGTCCATAAGAACCCAGGATCTCTGAAATTCCATGGTATCTTTTATTTTGTAAAAATAATCTCATAAAATAAATACCCTTACAGTTTATACACGTTCTAAATTAAATCAGCCATATTCTAACTAGAAATTTCATTCTCTGCTGTCATGTATGTATGCGTTCAACATTAATGAAAAATATTAATTGAGTTGTTAGTCTGAAAAGTCTCTCTTTAGAAAGCTGGACAAAGCAATGAAACTAACACTTCTCTAAATTAATTGTGGTGTGTGAAATATTTTTAAAACATGAATTATAAGATTCAAAAATAAGGATTTTTCCCCT